GATTGAAAAATGAGGTGGCTGACGCCATTTTGATTGCCCAGGCTACCGCCTGATGGGACTTATGGAAGGCGACCTCCGCCCATCTGTCCTCAGAGTTTAGGCCATCCAATGGGTCCGACGAGATGACCGATGGTAAAGCAAGGCTTGCCAGTGGGGCATCAACAGTCGGCAATTCTAAGAGTGCTTCCAGTTCCGGAGCCGGACAGTACAGCTTCTTATCCAGATTGCTGGGCGTTGTGAAGGACCCGGGCTGACCCCACAGTGTTTGGAGTACATCCATAGTTGTGGGCACGGGATAAAATCCTTCTGTTTAGCCACTTTAAATAAGGCATCATGGGGCCCAGCCTCAGCTTTAGAAGAAGCCTGTTCACTGACCGCCCCAAGGTTAGTGGTCAAGCGTGCCTTGTGCAGGAGGGATTTAAAGAGGGCAGGCCTGAACAGACCTATAAAGGCCGGAACATCAGGAGCCAAACCCTCGTCCTCTGAGAACTCGAGGTCCTCCGGGTCAGCATCAGCCTGGTCAGAATCAGTGGAAGAGTCAGAGTCCCCTCGCTGTGGTGAGCAAGACCTGCGAGCGGCCTGACTGGGAGCCACCACTTGTCCAGGTAACGGAGCCAGGGGGAGGGATGCTTGTTGTAGACCCGCAGCAAAGATCGTGGACAAGGCCGTAGATAATAAGGGCTGGAAATCGAGTTGAACACTCGCTGATGACGTTTCCGCTGCTCGGAGCCCTGCTGCAGTTGGTGTGAAAGTGGCTTCAAGAACAACTGGACGAGGAGCCCGAAATGGATCCAAGCCAACCTTCAAAACGTCTGGCATGGAACTTGAGACCCTTTTTGAGGCAGACAGCGACTGAGTCGGATGAGCCATGACCTCTGAGGACGGGCCAGCTGGTGATGTGTCTGGAGGGAGAATAGAGGAAGTAGGCTCGATTTGTGTTGGAGGACAACACTGTAAGGGCTGTGGGACCAGACCAAGCGCGGCCAAGGTCGCCTGCCTGGCCCTATTGTACTGTTTCTTAAAGGCCTTGTGCCGCCGCAAGGCGTCCTTGTCGCAGCCGGAGGCCATCTTGGACTTCTGGGACTTGTGGCTGGATGAAACAGATCGCTTCTCTCCACTTTTTTTCGTGACGCAGAATGACTGGGAGGACTGGCCTCCTGTTCCAAATCGGAGGATAGTGAAGAATCCGCCATTGGGAGAGACCCCCTGGTAGCAGCCAGGTATTGCTGGGGTGAGAGGGAGGTGTGGGACTGACAACCCCCAACGTCTCTCAGCCGCTTCCCTGGTGCGCAGAATGGGCCAGGACACACTGAGACCCAGGTGAGAAGGTAGAAAGCGCAGGCCATAGGTTGAAAGGCATCGGAAACCCGCAGGGCCCAGATGCGTCCTCCTGACAACCGATCCCTGGCGCTGGGCAAAGGCAGGGAGGTCAAAAGGGCGCCGGACTGCAAGCGTTGGCCGCCAGACAAAGTAGAGGATTTCTCAGGGTCTGGCGCCAAAGCGCGGCACAATTGTGGACACAAAATGGCGGGTGCTGTCCTGTTTCTTGTCCAAAATGGCAGGCGCAACTGCCGAAACCCAAAATGGCGGCTCGATCTGAAGCACTCGGTCCGGAGCTAGGATCCGAGCGTGGAAAGGCCACCCCAACAGTTTCACCTACCGCCAGCCGCTCCTCCGATCGTATTGCGCCAAAGATGTCCTCAGAGTGTACACGAAGCTCGTGCGAATGCTCCGGAGCCTCCTTAACCAAGGAGCGCCACAAGGAGGTGGCGGTGGGGCCGACGACAGCGAGCCGCTCGCCAAAGGCACCCACCAGCAGCCAAGAGTCAAGCCAGATCTGCCCCGAAGGGCCGGAATCCGGTCACTGTCAAGCGCCCTAAGCGCTGCGGCAATGGATGCCTGGTGGCCGCAATCCAAGCTGGATCCGCCCCGAGGGGTCAGAATCTGGCTGCTGTCAAGCGCTCGAAACTCTGAGGCAATGGATGTGTGGTGGCCTCAATCCAAGCCGGATCCGCCCCAGGGGTCGGAATCTGGTGGCTGTCAAGCGCTCGAAGCGCTGAGGCAAGGGACGGCCTGGATCTCCAGATGCGTCACCAAGCCTCCCAGCAGAAAAAATCAAGCGAAATGCAGCTCTCAACCGAGATCAAGAAAGAAATTCAAAAATAAATTAAATGCCTAGTCACATTACCAAAAGGGGGGTGGAATTTCCAGAGAGAGAACAAAAGGACACCTCAGTCTGTCAGCAACTGAGTGAAAGACTGGGGAATCATGGGACAAGTGGGCATGGCCAGAGATGGAGAGAGCAAACAAATTTGAATAATTCACCCAGTTGCTGTCAGAACATGAGGAATAATCCAGCTATGGAGTGTAGACGCAGCGCTCTCGAAAAATACGGCATCCTTCACTTAATCCTCCAGGGAAAGATTGAAGGCAAACGAGGTCCAGGCAGAAGAACAACATCATGGCTTCAAAACCTAAGGGACTGGTTTGGACAAAACCCAGCAGCACTTTTTCATACAGCTGTTGACAAAAATAGGATTGCCAACATGATCGCCAACGTCCAATGACGGATATAACACAAGAAGAAGAATCAACAAAAAGAAGGGACACCCATGGGATCACCCCAGTATCAGGAGTCATTGCAGAAACTGTCCTATGCGAACTAGAACATCGTGCATTTCTAAACTACACATCTAAATTTTGGTGCCGCTACATGGGCAACATGTTTGTCATCCGCAAAAGAAATGTACTGAAAGACTTTCATACTCTACTGAACTCCCATCTTTCTAGACATACAATTTACCATGGAGGAAGAAACAGCTAGACAATTACCATTTTTAGATGTGCTTGTCAATAGGCAGAAAGATAGAAGCCTAGAAACCATGGTTTATCACAAGGCTACCAACACTCCACATATTCTTTATTTCAACAGTAACCATCCACTGTCATACAAAGAGTTGCCTCAGAACACCAAATGGCAGGGTGTAGTACAAAGCAAGCTAAATAACTGGAGAGAAGGTACCTATGTGAAGAATCCAGGCAGAATGGGTACCCATAAGCATTTATTACAAGATATCTGTGTAACACATGAAGTGAAAGAAGATATAAGATCAATATATGGCACATCAAAAACATTTCAGAAGCAGTAGAATGCAGCTTCTGATATCTGCAAGTGGGCATTGCATACTACCCAGAGGTGGGAGATACTTCTAATGTAATTTACTGGATTCCCTGCATGGATTGCCCCATGACTTATGTAGGATGGACATGGAGGAAGCTAACCAGATTGCAAGAACACAAGTGAGTGGTCAGACAAGTAGACTCAAACTCATTGGTAGCCTCAAATAGCAACGAACAAGGACATACCGTATTTTTCGGTGTATAAGATGCACCAAAGTGTAAGACGCACCTTAATTTTGGGGGAGGAAAAGAAGGAAAAAAGTATTTTATCTCTGCTTACCAGCATTTAAGGTGGCGCCGCCCTCCTCCTCCTCCTGCAAGCAAGAGGTGCAGGGACTACTCGCTTTCCCCCAGAGACCCCTCACATGCTCTGGGGGGAGGGACAGAGCACAGCCTGAGGAACAAACCCCTTCCAGGTGGGGCTGGGGGGGGGGGGGAATCTGCCCTGCAGCTTCAGGGAACAAGGCAGGTGCCACGATTTGAGGCTGGTCACCCCTCTGGCCGCGCTGACTTCACTCCCCAGCAATGTGAGGAGCCGCCGCCACTGCTGCCTAAGCCCTCTCTGCGCCCAGGAGCCAAGCCGAGCTGAATGGGAGCCCCTAAAGGGAAACATTCCTCCTTTCCAGCCATTGCTGCCCGGATTCCCCAATGCAATTCTCAAGAGTCGCGCTTCAGGTGGCAGCCAGTTCCCCTGCAACGTGCAGCGGGGAACTGGGAAGTGCTTTGGATTTGGGAGGAGATTGTAGCACTGCCGCCCGAAAGTGTTTTTCTGCACATTGCAGAGCCGCACGCTCCTGTCCTTCTTCTCAGCAGACTCAACTTCTCTTTCCTCCTGGCCAGATCCGCCGCCTGAAACAATGTGCACTTTTTGTCTCTGCACACCCCATGTTTGGAATCAGGAAGGGGATCGCGGGTCTGCTGTTGGGCAGATTCTCCCCACTCCCCACCGTCCCGAAGAGTGAGGGTTGTTCCTCAGGCTGTGCCCCGACCCAGATCTCTGCCACCTGGAACTGGCCGAAAATGGCCAAAGGGTGGGGGCCGGGGCTACATTTGGCGTATAAGATGCACCAAGATTTTCACCCCCTTTTTGGGGGTAAAAAGGTGCGTCTTATACACCGAAAAATACGGTATATTCAATTTTGCAGTTACTACGACTGTTAACTGTGCAAGTAGAAAGATAGCCAGGGAAATGATTGAAGTCTACGAAACGGGCCCCTTGTCAGTCAACAGGAGTACTGATTTTCCACCAGCTTACGAGAGACTTAGAAGCCAAGGACTTGACAGCACATCAACACACAAATCAACCAATAGGAAGGCACCATATAAAAACAATGCATAGAATAGTCCAAACCATATGTTTCGTTCCAGAAGTTCCTTGAGGATGGGCTCCAACGTAAGTCCAAAAGGTTGGAAGACTAAATTTCTGGTTCCAGTGACTGACCCAGATTGGATCTTGGAGAAAATATATTGCTCTCTGCTTGGCACACAGCATAGCCATATTCAAATTTCTGATCTTTATATGTTGGAAAGTGTATAGAATTTCATAGCACAATAAATAATAAGCAAAATGCCTAAAATTTTGTGAACTTCCTTCTTGAAAAAAAGTTGCTCTTTTTATGATGGAACAACAAATAAAATATTGAGAACCACTAATCTAATTCATATAAAATTAATTTTTAGTAAATCTGTTCATTAGAATATTATATGAAAACCCATACTATGATAGAGAAAACTTGCTGTTTATGCCAATTTAATTTTTCCAGGCAACAAGCATATACAAAATGGATACACTGAAAGATATAAGGCTTATTTCTACTTACATAATAGTTGTCATTTATTTGTACCATTGGTGCATTTACGCAAGCTCCCAAACATTCAACTTCAGTTACAGTGAAAAGTTTATCAGACGTAGTTTCCCCTACTTTTATACCTGAGGCAAAACAAATTAGTTTGATTTAGAATAAAGCAAACTGTAAACATGAAAACTTTATGGCTATTTGTCCCAATACAATGTTCCAAAACTGATTATGGCAGTTTGCATAATTCAGTATTAGATTTACTGTATTAAATTAGCACATTTCCCAATTTGTTCTTGCCACTAGAGTTGCAATCCTGTTTATAGGAATGTATGGGTATATAGCTGGCTGTTAGATAATATAATGAGCCAAATGTTATCTTAAATGAAGGTATTTTTATTTCATAAACTTCACAAGAAACTATTTTGTGGGCTGGGGGAAGAATGAAATAGTATCTTAAATTTCAGCAAGTTTAAACATACGCATCTTGCCCCTTAAGGGATCTCACATCACAAAAAGCCAAAATGTTAGAATAGAAAAGAATTACAGAGTTGAAAGGGACCTTGGAGGTCTTCAGGCAAGAAACCAGAGGTGGGGCACAGAGCCCTTTGTGGGCACGTGCGCTGTCACCCCAGTTCAGCCATTGGATTTCTGGCGCTCTGGCACACACGTGCACGTGACTTGCCTTCCGGTTTGGGCACTGTGCCAAAAAGGTTCGCCATCACTGCCCTATACCATTTCAGACAAATGGTTGTCCAAGCTCTTCTTTAAAATTTCCAGTGTTGGAGCACCCACAACTTCTGGAGACAAGTTGTTCCACTGATTAATTGTTCTGTCAGGAAATTTCTCCTTAGTTCTAGGTTGCTTCTCTCCTTGTTTAGTTTCCTTCAATCTGTTTTCTCAGGCTCTTATTTCCTTTTCTCCCTTTTCTTAGCTATAAACCATCCTCTCAGGCTATGTAGCTCCACTATCAACAGCTAAAAAAATCCTATTGTCCAGCTCTCCAGGATACAAGGGTAACTTTGTCATGATCAAGTTTCTTTGCAAATATGCTTTTCAGAGTACAAATATAAATTGGATTAAGTAAGAAAAGTCAATACAACATGAACAGACTCATGATACAGGAAAATTAAGTGTTGTTTCATACCAAGCTTCTTCAGAATGGCTTCTAATATACTATCTGAATCTTGAAGCATGCAAGGTGTGGTAGTGCAGATTTGAATATGATATTTCCCAACAGGCTTACGATTAAACATTGTATAAAATGTTGCTACTTCATAAACTCTCATAGGAGGCATTTGTAGAATCTCAGCAATCTATAAATAGGAGAAAATCATTTTTTTATTTGAATAATATATTTACATATATTAGTACTTTTAGCAGAAGCAATGAAAATCTTGCAATGTCTTAATTTTCTTATGACTCACAGAATTATTGCACATAGTGCAATCTGAAGTCAGTAAATACTGTGAAATTATCTGAATATTTTTAAGATTAATAAACTTCCTTATATGATCTGGCAACATTCTAAATTATTTGTTTTAAATGAGGTACTTAATGAATATTAAAATTATTTTGTGTTAATATTGTTCAGTTATACATATGCTAAAATATCAGATTAAAGATAAGTACCTTATTCATAGCTGATATAGGTAGCCATCCATGTTGTCTTTGAGCCAAATCCAGGACTGGGATTACTGCCGAAGATTTATGTCCTTCTGGGTAGTTATTTACTATTCCATCTATCCTCTATTATTAAAGAAAATAAATATTACAATAACCAATTTTATTGAGATAGAAATACAGCATTTCACCCATCAAAACATGAAAGGTCATCAAAAAGGGACTAAAATGGTGTAAAAGCCCAAGTAATTTAATAACAAAATAAAACATACCTTATAGTTTTCAGGAGTGAAATCAAATGGGGTATTTGGGTTGTTTTCAGGAGTATCTCTGTGCTGTACAAATTACAATAAAATAATGAAAAGATGGTTAGATGTAGAAAAATTATAGCTTCTGTATCTTAATTATGATACTTCATGAGGAGAGATTCGTTTTAAGAAGATATGAAAAGCTGTACTAACAGCTGAATTACTGGAACCATCTTCTATGCATCATCACTCTAGTCAGTAGTTTCAGAAATAAAATGTTGCATCATGCTATTTAATTATATCACACGGGATATGTGTACTAATAGTGAATACTTTGATCATCATTTCAATTTACATGTTTATTATGTAAGCAAATTGCAATAAGTGAAAATATTGTTACAGTAATTGGATGCAGAATTGAAAAATTAAAAGTTTATGATAACCTATACAGTTGAATGTCGTTCAATTGATCACCTAAAGCTATAAAAATTATTGTACCCAGTCAAATATTACAGTACAAGTAATCCTTAAGAAACATGCCATTTGACGACTGTTCAAACAACGAATGACACCCCAAAACTACATACGAACCTGTTTCTTCAAAGTCACAATAGATGCAGCGCTTCCACAGTCGACAGACCAGGGGGATTCTGCTGCGCCCTTTCCTGCGAGGTCTCCCCCCCACCCCAACATCCCCTGCAGCATACTTAGAACTGCTCCCAATGATTCCTGGAAGCAGTACCATTTTCATTATTTCAGGAGAAACTACACAATATTTTGAATAAGATGATCCAGGGGAGAATGTGTCAGTTTGTTGCAAAAGTCAAATCCAGAAAGCACACACAGATAATTGATTCAGCAGGATTCATTAACTTCTCTTTATATGCAATATAACACATGAATAAATGTACAATACCAATAGTTGTTCTTCCAACATGGTAGAGAGGAGAGATCAGTTTCAATTCAGAGTTCAGAGTATACTAGTTTCGTTTTAGAGCTGAGCACAGAGCTAAGCCATGCCCAGACTTCTTAAGTTTCTGTTTCCAAACAGCCCTCATTGGCTGATCCAGTTACTATGCCTAATCATTGGTGACCTTGTTACCATGTCTCTGCCAGTTCATGAATATTCTGATAGAATGTTACTTGGTTAGGTAACATGAATGGAAAAGTATTAATTCCAGCGCATGTTAAAAGACACTGAGCCATTCAGAGACCGAAGAAGGAATGAGAATAGTGACTGGTGAATATCTGCTTAGAAAAATGTTGCTTTGTTTAGAATACAAAGTTTAAGAACTTGTGTGTAGACATGAAAAAGGAATAAATATGAATTTTAAAACTGACAGTTTATAATGGAAGTTTAAGAGTTAGTGAAGGATACATGGGTGACAGGAAATTATGAATATGGGACAAACCACATTTTTGTAGAAAGAAATGGTTGTTAGGGGAAAATAGAAACAGAAGAAAGGAAATTAAATAAAAGTGAAAGTACAAAGGATGTGACGAGACAGTACCAGTCCTGTACAAAATGTATTAGAAAACACATTAATTTCCCAATTAAATATAAGAAAAAACAATACAGAACTTGGAATAAAGAACAATAATGCACAGTACCACAAATGTAAGACATGTACAGAATGATGCCAATGGTGAAAAAAGAAATATTTTTGGAGAAAGTTTTAGGTGAACACTGATGAAAGTGGGGAAGGTCCTCCAATCAAATATATTCTCTTTGGAATTACTAAAATGTTTTTTAACACAATATTTTAAACCCAAAATATCAATGTTTATATCAAATCAATTGCTAGATATTCAATGTTGTTATAAAGTTTAACAACTAAATATGCTACTAATCCTCAATATAAACTGTAACCACACCACACAATTGTTTAATACACTTTTAAAGTTATAAAATATGGTTTTTGTTTCCAACTTCGATTCTTACTTCACTATTGACAAAATCAGAAGTCTGGTCAGATAGACTTATACATTCAGATAGACTTATACAAAATTACCATAGTCATTTTGTATATGTAAAACTAATGCAGGAAGCTTATACATGACTGCTTAATGGGATATGTATGAATATAACAGATAAGCATTTACACTTTGGGGGCCAATATCCTCTATATTCTTGCTAGAAATAGATTCCACTAAACATAATGAGCTTTTCTTCTAAGTAAACATGATAATTCAGTAGGTTGATATATTTGCCAAGTACAACAATCATATATACAATCACCTACAATACTATGTATAGCAGTTTTATTATTACTAATAGAAAGGAAGTGTAATGTTATAAATACCATTAACAAATTGCACACAAATAAAAGCCACATTTTTCCATTTCACTAAACATTTTGTATAATCATTTGTTCAAACTACTTACCACAAACAAAGTTCCACCACTACTTCTGCGTTCTGCTGATGTATAAAGGCAACGAATATTTGTCACCTACAAATATTTCATATAAAGTTAATAGTTTGTATTTCCAATTACAGCTAAGAAATCGAACCGATCTTAAATTATGTTTATCCTTACTGAATTAGATGAGTCTATTTTAAGTTACTGTACTGCTGATAAGCTGTCTACACTACATATAAACCAAAAGTATACAGTATTAAATGCAAAAGTAGGTAGTAATATCTGTAATAATATGTATTAGCACTTCAAATTTGTCCTCTACCTGCATCTAAATCTTCATGATTCAAAAGAAGAAATTACCTGCAGGAAGTTTGGAAAAGGAAAGATAAACAGCTTGAATTTTGTCTTCTGTAGCCTGCATTTCAGAAATCCCTATAAGGCTCATTTTCTACAGGAACTAAAAAGTCATCCTATCAACAGAATCTTTGGTGCTTTTGTGACATAATAACCAGCCATAATCATCCCCTCTATACATCTGCTTACATGAATAAAACTGTGAGAACTAGATTACAAATCTTTAATATAGAAATATCTAGCAGCTTGATTTACTATCTTTGCTGGCATGCTAAAGAAATATTGTGCAAATTCTGAAATAATAAAATTTGTTATCTTTATAATAATGTTGTGTTTCTAAATCTGTCTAAAAATAGTTCCCTAATAATGGATTGGGAAATTATTGCAAACAAGGAAGTTGTTCATATTTGGACAAAACTGAATGACAATGAGGAGCCATTTGATAGAAACATGCTGAGGGAATACAATATTTCTTTGAATGAATTTAAAACTCCAGACCAAATGAAGTGGCTATAGCTATTCTCAAGGAATTCTGGACAACTGATAAAACGGACGTTGCTTACCTGAACGTCCCTTCTCGACGCGCAGCTGGAGAATCCAAAGCTCTGCTGCTAGGGACAGGACATGCGCCTACTCGACTATTGAACTACCCGAAGCTTTGGATTCTCCAAGCTGCGCGTTGGAGAAATTGGACGTTGCTTACCCGAACGTCCCTTCTCGACGCGCAGCTGGAGAATCCAAAGCTTCGGGTAGTTCAATAGTCGAGTAGGCGCATGTCCTGTCCCTAGCAGCAGAGCTTTGGATTCGCTAAGCTGCGCGTTGGAGAATGACAGCTGAATAAATTATAGCAAATGTCCTGAGGAGAGGAACCTCCAACAAACTATAGACTAGTCAGTACAATTTCAATATCTAGGAAAATTCTAGAGCAGATAATAGGAGGATACAGTACCCTGAAAATAATGTGGTAATTCCCAGAAATCAGAACCAATCTTGCTAGGCTAACCTGACCTCTTTTTGATCATGTAGTTTTCCTAATGGATTCTAAGAATCTTGCAGCCTTAATTTTGCAAAAAATTTAACGAAGTATTCATCATGATAAGTTGATTAGCAACTTAGTTAAGTGTGGACCAGATATTCTGACAATTACAGTAAATAGATAGCCAGCTGAATCAAATAATCTTGTAAAAATGCTCATCTGTGATTCCTCATCTTGACAGAAGGATCTTAACAAATTGGAACAGTAAGCAAAAAGCTGCAATAGGGACAATGTAAATGTATGTTTGGGTAGCTAAAAGTAAAAAATTGAGTACAGGATGACCATTACTAGTCAGCAACACTTGCAAAATACATCTTATATTTTGGTGAATCACAAATGAACATAAGCCAAAAGCATAATGCACTTGCAAAATAATCACAAAGGATATGAATAAGATTCTTGCAAGGATTAAAAGAGCATCTCGATCAGTTGCCTACAATTGAACAGTGATGTTTTCAGAAGAATTGGGTATCAAAATTAGAAAACCAAAACCGCAAAATCATATTTAATACCAAAGTGGAAGGTCACAGCCCAAAATAAAATAATTAAGATCAGATACAAGTAATTTAAAGAACACGAAAGAATAAAAATTAAACAATGTAAGGATCAAAACAAGCCTAGTTTTAAAACAACTAGCATCAGAAAAATTAAAGCAGCTTTGGAAATCATAAAGCAACCAGTAAAAGCAATAGCTGGAAAACCTGAGACATGAATCATCCAATTTAAGCAAAATCAGCTATTTCAATCAGACCAGTGGCAATTCTGCCAAAGTATAAATGACAAATTCTGAAAACTGAAAACCAAACAAAAAGAAAACAATACAGTTTTGGAAAGATCTATGAGAAACTCAAAAAATGATAATAAAAATGATGAAGGGATAAAATAATTTGAAAATGAATTTAATAAAAATTAAATGGAAGAATTAACAGCAGAAATAGTTAACAATTGAGTGAAAAGGATTTTTTTTTGCAAATGATCAATTGCATAGCTTGTAGCTCAGATATCTGACATTCAGTTATAACTAAACAGCTTAATGAAGTATTGCATAAAAGAGACATTAGTAACTGATTAATAACTGACAAAACTTTTGATTCAAAAAGACCCAGCAAAAGGGACACCACCAGGAAATTATAGACCAATAACATACTTGCCTACAGTGTTTAAATTATTTACAAGCATAATAGTAGACAAATCTAAGATTCAGAAGAAAATCTTTCCAATAGGACAGAAAGAAAATAAAAGGAAAAAGATTACAAAAAAATCAAAATCTGATTGATAAAATGATATTGGAGAATTACAACAGCTGAAATCCCTATTTACATATGGTGTGAATTGATTATAAAAAAAGTGTTTGTTTCCTTACCAATTCATTAGAGCAACAAATGTTTGGAAATAACTAGAATGTTTATAGAAAAAATAATGAAGCAGTGGAAGACAGAATTAGTGGTTGGAAATATTTCCTAATGATAAGGGTGGTTCAATTATGGAAGACTCTGGTTAGGAGATGGGTGGCTCTTTTGGATGCATTTAAATAAAGGTCATCAGTCAGATGTTTAGGTGGATTTCTGCAGTAGGCAGGGAACTGAAGTAGATCTAAGGTCTTTCTAATCAGTACATCTTAACTGAAAAGAGATATGAAGTCAGATGCCACAAGGATCACTCCTGGGTTTTCTAAACATTTTATTAATATTTACAAAGGAAATGCTTACCGAAGTTGTGCATAACACTCAATTAGGTAGATATATATGCTAATTTCTTAGAAGCCTGAAATCAAATTCAACACAACTTTGCCAAATTAGAGATACAAGCTGAAATTAATAGAATGGAATAAAGTGAATGACTGGAATGAAATCTATCAGAGAAAATTGTAGAGTTTTGTTTAGGTAACAAAAATCAAATCAGAAGGAAAAAGTGCTTTACTTGTTTTGGTAAGAATTCTTATGAAAAATCTTGGAAAAGATGATTACTAAATCATCTTTTCTTTTGTTTTACTGTCAGATCATACATCAATACAACAGAATATAATTTCCAAACTCAGGAAATTAAGAATTCCACCTTTAGTTGTGCTAAATTGTGTTTAACCCATTTTAGAGTGCTCAGAATAAAGCATCTCGAAACAGTGTTTAGTTCTAGGCAAACTCCCCCCCCCCCCCTTTAAAAGTTTCTGAGGAACTGAGTAAATTCAGAGAATGGCAATAGGATGATTTGCAGACTAAAAAGTTAAGTTATGTGGAGAGAGATTGCAGGAGTATGGCATATTTAGCCATGAGAAAAGATAGCAGAGTGGGGTGTAGCAAGATGATGATTGAGATGGCAGCTTGATCTGGAGGTTTTTTGTTGTTTGTTTACCAAATTTATGAAAAGGGTTACACAACTGACAAGAAGATTTTTAGATTAAATAAATGCCTTCAGACCATCTGATGTACCTTAATTTCTATTTCAGCACTTAGTGAAGGGCTTAATTGGCGTAAATGACCTCTTCAGTTCCATGAAATAATCTATGCTTTGATAGCCTCCAGGCAAGAGACAATACGCAGTAGATACAATAAACATTCAAGCAGCAAATGTACAGGAATTAATATGAATATTTTAAAATGATGTTGATGCAGCTATTAGCCAGATATAACATTGACCTTGACATATAATTTTGATCAAGGAAAGATTCTACAAGATATGACTGCTAGTTTAATGGACTTATTTGAAATTTTGACAGTGTCCTGGGTAATAAAAGTTTTCTGCAATGAGCAACGTCCATCTAAAACAACCAGGTCATACAAATACAAAAATAATGCATGGTGTACAAATGTAAACTTCTTTGCCTGGTATACTATTCCCTTTTCTGTTTATATATATAAAAAAAGATAAGAATCAGGAAGTGCTTACTATCTTGGGACATTATTAAAAGGAAAGATGTGTAGCAAACCTTTTGAGTTTTGTTATTTCTAACGATCTAGAAGATGCAAGCTTCTTTTAGAAATCAATATTCATATATCTTCCACACCAATGTTACTTGCCAATAGGACAACAGATCATTGTTGCAGGACAACAGCAGTTTCAGATACGTGTAACTATCCAACTCAAATTTATGTAGAAAATGCTGCCTGCGTTACTCTACATACAGCTTCAGCTCCCGCGTTCCATTAATCAACTGACGGTGTATTTTAACGCAAGAGGACTTTTGTGGAAGCCAAGAGGTAGAAAAACCGTTCGGGCGATTATGACAATTGCAAATTTCGGTCAATGCCACTATCCTCTAGTTCGACCCACGCGAATTAGCATAAACGGAACGAATCTGAGAATTAAGACGGACTGATTTTCGGGGCGATATAAAGGCACAGGTGGTTCGCTCCGCATCCATCTTCCCCTCGCTTGCCGGCTTAGGCCCGCCGCTTATAGCAAAATAGCGTTGCTCTGACACCCACCCTTCGTTTCTCCTCCGCCGAGGAAGTGAGGTACAACAGCCCGAGCCTCACGCTCCTCCCCTTCCCGGAGAGGAAGGCCACTATGTCCTTGGTAGCTCAAACTCTCCCTCGAGCTCTCTAACGGCGCCCCACTTGCTCCTTGAAGGACGCCAACCTTTCCCGGCCCCCTCCTTACCAGGCGTGGAAAGGCAGTCCGAAAACGAACAGAGAACAACATGGCAGCAACCGCCTCCACCTCAACCCGGCTCGCCCGCCCTCAAGAGTCACAGACACTCAGTACCCTGGGCGCTCTCGGCAGCGCATGCGCAACCGGCGCAGTGAAAACAACCGGCCTGTTGGGAGTGCGGCGCGCGTGCTCTTTTAGGCCCATTACGGTGGGCGCACGCGCCACTCACGGGTAGGAGTAGCGCCCTAGAAAAATGCGAGGTTTTCCTTTCAAAAGTGCAGCTGAAGACCGTGGAAGAGATCAGATACTGACCGGGCTGTCCGTTTTTCAGGCTGGAGTCCTGATGCATGATGCGTACTTTTACGTTTGCTGGCTTTTTAAAAACAGTCCCAGTTTGCAAAACCACACTTCTACAAAGCTGCCAGGACAACCTTTCTGTGCCGTTCGAGTCTGCGCTTGAGATGTTTACTAAAAGTTGTAGCAGCGGAGGAAAGGACCGATTTCATCTCCCAATTCATTATATGCCAATAATAAGGGCAGTAATGAGGACACTTAAGAGAGCAGTTAATCGGCCAAATATGACATCTTAGTTGTACATAGAAGCTGACTGGAGCAGAGATGCATGCTTATTATAGTGTAATCTTGCGTAAATCCATCTAAAAAGAATTTAAGAGAACTTACTTGCATAAGAAATAGAAAAGAAATTTAGGAGAACTTACAATGCAGTTCTAGGCTGCATGAACAAAGGGATAGTATGAAGGTTACCTGAAGTGTTAACACTGCTTTATACTGCTTTGGAAAACCTCACCTGGAATAGTATGTCTAGTTTTGATCACCATGCTATAAAACAGATGCTGAAACTCTAGAAAGGTGCAGAGAAGAGCAGCAAAAATTAGGAAGCTGGAGGCTAAAACATAATGAATAGTTGCAGGATCTGGGTATGTCTAGTCTAACAAAGAGGATTAGAGGTCACATGATAGCAGTCTTCCAATATTTTAGGGGTTGCCACAAAGAAGAGGGAGTCAAGCAGGGGTGAAATCCAGCAGGTTTTAACAGATTCTGGAGAACCAGTAGCGGAAATTTTGAGTAATTCGGAGAACCAGCAAATACCATCTTTGGCTGGCCTCAGAGTGGGGTGGGAATGGAGATTTTGCAATATCCTTCCCCCAGGAGGGGTGGGAATGGAGATTTTGCAATATCCTTCCCCTGCCACACCCACCAAGCCACGCCCACAGAACCGGTAGGGGAAAATTTTGGATTTCACCCCTGGAGTCAAGCTATTCTCCAAAGCACCTGAAGGCAGAACAAGAAGTAATGGATGGAAAGTAATTAAGGAGAGAAGCAGCCTAGAATTAAGGAGAAATTCCCTGACAGAACAATTAATCAGTGGAACAACTTGCTTCCAAAAGTTGTGAATGCTCCAACACTGAAAGGTTTTAAGAAGAGAATGGACAACAATTTGTCTGAAATGCTGTAGGGTTTCCTGCCTGAGCAGAGGGTTGGACTAGAAAACCTCTAAGGTCCCTTCTAACTCTGTTAATTATGTATTCTGCATTCTGCATATTGTTTTTAAAAGAGGCAGGCAGTTTGGCATCCCATGACTACATGTTGATTCTGATTCCCATTTGGAAGGCTGTTGGAGACCTTTTTGATAAAAGTTGCCAAAATCAGTATAATCCTTTCTTCCTATTTTGACATGTGAACAGAACTATTGTAATTTAAGTCCTAAAATATGCTTGGCATCGTATAAAAATATATCTGTATAACACATACTATTCCAGAAAAATGTTGGACTATAATTGGAATGTCCAGATTGGAGTAACAATTTTTCTGAAATATTTTAGTTCAAGAACTATATGTTTCTTATACATCATTCTAAAAAACAACACTTTATTAGCCCCTTCATAAAACTAGGCTACTCCTCCCTCCCCAAAATTCTAACTTTGCTTGTCTGTATCATATGAAAGCTTTATGTAAAATACCTTCTATAAAAATTAAGTATGTATCTTGGTCACCTAAAGGTCACTCACCCCTAATATATAGGACTGCGCCATCAATATATGAATATTTGCATTCTAATTATGAGGAAAAGTGATCTCAGCTTTCTATTAAGTAAATATGGCATTATTATTTAAATCATTATTGATGTTCCACATACCCAAAACAAATTTGGAAGGTATTACAAATAGCAGATAACTAGATAGAAAAGAAATTTCAGTTGTCAAATAATGTTATTGTAACTAAATAGTACAGGAGGTTAAACTTTCTCAATTTCCATCTAGTAATAACAGCCACGTATTCCAAATTCTCAGCAACCAAATTGAAAATTGAAACTTTTTAAATCTTGTCTTGGAGTGCAAACTTTGTACAAATATATTTTGGTCTGTTAATATTGATCTGAAAAGATAGTAGATTTAGAACTAGACTCTTGTGACTTTTTTCTCAGTTTTGTTCTTTCTTAATATAGAAACTGAAGTACAGATAGTAAATCTAACATTAGTTGAGATCATCTTAAAAGAGTTTTCTATGCTAGCACCCAGTTCACAAACCTTAACTAATCCTTGGTCAAAGGAATATCTTTGGTTATATTACCAAAGATATAATATTACCAAAATGTAATCTTTTGCAGGGTGTTTCAAATGCAAATAGTCCCTTCATCTCATTCTTAATTCCCAATGTGTGTCCTGACTCCATCAGTTTTTGAAATTCTACAATACAACATTTGGAAATGAATGGTAATTGCTTATAATGCAATCAATATACTTTTGATGTGCCAGTAAAATACCCTGAATTAGCCTGCAGATATAAAATTATAAGTTTACATTCAATCTACCGGTATTTTGCTAGAAATAAAATAGATTGCTAGTTGTTCCAGTGTTGATACACATATTTCTCTTCACATAAGTTGACAAGTATATTAAATAGCCTTATGAATATAGGTACCTCTTAAGACTACATTTGGGACTGGAATTTTGGTTGTTAAGCAATGTGGTCATGTGACCAGACCCAATTTTATAAACAATTTTTATTGGGAATCATTAAGTGAATCACATAGTCATTAAATGGATCACATGCTCATTAAACAAATTTGCTTCCCCAATTGATTTTGCTTATTGGAAGCCAACTGAGAAGATCACAAATTGCAATCACATACTTGCAAGACATTGTAATCATAAATACAAGCTGGTTACCAAATGCCCAAATTGTGATTGCAGAAGTGGTGCGATGATAGTCATAATTTCAAGGATATAAATCACTTTTTCCAAAGCTGTTGTAATTTCAAATGATTATTAAATGAACAGTCATAAGTAAAAGACAACATCTAGTTCAGAAGTCTAGCATTTAAATATAACTTCAATAAAGATAGACACACACATATATGCGCATGTGCGATATGACATAGTTTATATATCAGTTTAATTAAGTAAACACTGTCCAAAGTGAAGTCAATTTTGAATCAGTTTCCCTGAAGAAAGATATTTGAGTGAACATCCTTCACAACTTTTTAAGTAGCATTTCTGCTTTTTCTGAAACTAAGATTGACTTTAATGTGAACCAGAAGGTGATACTGTAAATATCACCTTTTGATATAAGATGAGAAAGAGTTTGGTTTGTAAATGAAGGAACAATTAAGAAACATTTTATTATGATGTATCCTTTAATTAAAAGGCTTAAGGAAGAATTAACTAGTTCTAGTAAAAATACTGGTATAGCATTTATTGACTGCCATCTTCTGGACAAATGCAAGAAGCACTCAGTTTTGTGTGTGTGAATAGAATTGAGATGATTAGCCACCATATTTCTGAATTTCAAGCATGTACTGTATACATAGATATAAATTCCAGTCTAAATCTCCAGTCATTTCTTTTGATTACATAAGTATTGTGCCAAAGGCCTACAGGATTTCAAATGATAGCCACAGTCATTATTTTACCAACAAGTTGTGTAAGGACATGTATGTTTGTATATATATATATATAACCTTAGATCCTATATGCTTATCTGAAAAGATTTATTGTGGGACCACTTTTAATCTGCTTGTTTATTCCTTATTACTGCAGAATTTTGTTGAGCCAGAAGGAAATGGATTTTCTAAAGGCCCCCTGAGTTCAGCCCAAATTAGATTGCCAGCCAGCCAGTCAACCAGCCATGCATGTAAGGCATCTGCTGGGACTGTCAAAAAGTCAAGATGGTGGCCATCATTCTGGGATCAAAGCCCTGCTCCTAGTGGTGAGGTTCGATCCCACAGTTGTGACCACTGTTTTGGTTTTGGAAGGTGTAGTTTCACTTTTTTGACCTCTCTGCAGACCCACCTGCCTTCTTGCCATCCTCCTTCTAGAGCACAAGAGTGCTGGTTTCTTTATAACAGTGAATTGCTTGCTACAAAGCATACCTCTGGCCTCATGACTGGAGATTAGGGTTGAATTTAGGAATTGGAAGCAAATCAGGTTACAAGAGGATGGAAAACAATAATGGCAGAGGAGAGAGCCCAGGGGCATAAACAATAATGGTGTGTGCACATGAGCCACAAGTGGCCAATTTACGAGACCGCCTTCTGCTACCAATAGCCTCTCACCGACCAGTACGCTCCCATAGAGAGGGGCTCCTCAGGGTGCCGTCGGCCAAACAGTGTCGACTGGCGGCCCCCAGGGAGAGAGCCTTCTCTGTGGGGGCACCTACCATCTGGAACGAGCTCCCCCCAGAGATACGGAGGATCCCGGACCTGCGCACGTTTCGCCGTGCTCTCAAAACTTTTCTATTTCAGCAGGCTGGCCTGGCCTAACTCTCCTCTTTTAAATTTTTAATTCGTGATTTTATAAATTGGGTGTTTTAATCTGTGTTTCGGCCAAAATATTTAATAATTTTAAGGGATTTTTAATATTTGTATTATCTGTATTTTATCTTGGCTGTTCACCGCCCTGAGTCCTTCGGGAGTAGGGCGGTATAGAAATTTGATTAATAAATAAATAAATAGATGCTGGATTGTTCCATTCGGATGGCCATTTGGCTGCATTCCTGACAGAATAATCTGTAAACCACTGTTCCTTTCTTTGTCCACAAATCTTAAAAGTTGTCAGGGTTGATACACTCTAGTGTAAAGTATGTCAGACTTCACATATTTCGGAATTGCTGAAGGATGCT